GTTGGAGGCTCTGAAATCAAATCTCAGGGCGTAGGCCAACTCATCCCCAAGGGGCTGGTCAGGAGAAGTCCCGCTCCGCATCCGTCCTTGCTTGAAGATCCATCCACGAACAGTGTCCAGGTCGGGATGGTCTGATCGACCTGGCCCGTGGCCTGTTCAGCCTCAACAGCCTCTTTGACCTGTTCGGCCTTGGCTTCCTTTGTGGCCTGTCCGACCCCGGCAAGTCCCTCGGCCTGCTTGGCCTCGACTGCGTCTATGGTCTGTTCAGCCATGGAAGTCTGAGTGCCTTTCACGACCTCGGCAGCTTCTCCGACCTGCCTGGCCTCAGCTACGTCTTGGGTCGACTTGGTCTCGGCGGCCTGCGCGACCTCGACAGTTCCTCTGGCCTGCACAGCCTTGACTGCGCCACTGGTTAGCTCGGCTTGCAACTGTTCTTGCCCAAAGGAAATTCTTCGGCTATGAAATCCGCCAATGCTTGAGCCTTAATGGCCGTGCGGGGTTGGTAGCTGAGATCGTATTCAGACAGCTCCACGGCCCACCTTACCATTCTTCCTGATGCATCAGGCTTTGAGAGAATTTGCTTGAGAGGTTGGTCGGTCATGACCACCACGGGGTGAGTTTACAAGTACGACCTGAGCTTCCGGGTCGCGTGCACCAATGCTAGAATATACCGCTCAATTGAGGTGTACCTCTGCTCCGCCCCCTGCAAAGCTCGACTGACATAGTATATGGGTTTCTGGATTTTACCTTCTTCCCGAACTAGTACCGCACTGATCGCCTCCTCCCCAACTGCTAGATAGATGAATAAGACTTCTCCTTGTGCGGGAGAGGTCAAAGCTGGCAAGCGTGCGATGTGGGCTTTGAGCTCGTCAAACGCGCGCTGGCACTCGGGAGTCCATTCGAACTGGGGACCTCTTCGCAGGGCCCTGAAGAAGGGGAACCCCGAACGGCTGACTTCGACAGGAACCTGTTCAGGGCCGCCATCCTGCCACCTAGCCGCTGGACCTCTTTTATGTTTCGGGGAGGAGCCATGTCCATGATAGCTTTCACCTTGTCGGGATTAGCTCTTACCCCATCCTTGGATATCATGTACCCCAGGAACTTGCCCGACCTAACCCCGAAGGTGCACTTCTTGGGGTTCAGCCGCATCCGCGAGCTCCGTAGGACGTCAAAGATTTCTCTGAGGTCGTTGATGAACTGCTCCTGAGTTCGGCTTTTCACCAGCATGTCATCCACGTACACCTCCATATTTCGGCCGATCTGGTTTTTAAACAGCTTGTTGACCAGCCGTTGATAGGTCGCGCCTGCATTTTTCAATCCAAATGGCATAGTGGTATAACAATACGTACCGTATTCGGTGATGAAGGCAGTCTTCTCCTGATCTGCCTCGTCCAGAGCTATCTGGTGATACCCCTTGAAAGCATCCAGAAAGCAGAAGATCTCGTACCCAATGGTCGAGTCGACTAGCTGGTCGATGCGAGGGAGGGGGTAACAATCCTTCGGACAGGCCTTGTTCAGGTCGGTGAAATCTACGCACATCTCCAGGCCCTGTCCTCCTTTTTGACCAGCACAGGGTTGGCCAGTCAGGTCGGATAGTAGATCTCCTTCACAATTTTGGCCTCCAACAACTTGCCTACCTCTTCCTTGACGACCTCGTTGCGCTCAGGAGCGAAGTTCCTCTTCTTTTGCTTCACTGGCCGGATGTTTGGGTCAACGTGCAACCTGTGAACTGCCAACTCGGGAGGGACTCCGGGCATGTCATCAGCGCTCCACGCGAAGATCTCGGCATATTCCTCCAGCAAGGACTCCAGAGCTCTCCGTGTCAGCTCGCTCAGACCTGCTCCGGTTTTTACCACGCGATCAGTTCGCTCGGGGCAGATCGACAATTCGACCAGACTCTCATCCGTCTCCAACCTTTCCTCTTCTTTTCCTTTTCAGCAGGCTCCCAGGGCTCCAGACAGGTCGTTTGGGCCACCAGTTTCTCCTTACCTTTGAGGTTGCAATGTAACAGGCCCGAGCTACCTCCGGGTCCCCCACCACCTCGGCCACCCCCTCATGCGTCGGGAATTTCATGCTAAGGTGTAGGGTCGAGCAGACAGCTCGGAGAGCGTTGAGGGTTGGTCGCCCTAGTATCATATTGTAGGAAGACGGCTCCTTTTATCGCGAAATTCACCGGACAGTTCGGCACTTCGGTGACTCCCCTACCGTGACCATGAGGGTTATCATTCCCTCTGGTCTAACCGGCGGACCTGCAAAACCTATCAAGGGAGTCCGAACTGGGATGAGCTGCTTGTCTTCCAGCTGCAATTCCTTGAAGGTTTTGTAATACAGCACATCGATGGCACTCCCATTATCGATGTACACTTCTTTACCTTATAGTTGCACGTGATAACTTCTATCACGATCGCTTCATGATTATTAGAGGCTAAGGGTACCGCGTCCTCTGGCCCGTAGATGATTTCCTCGTACATCTTCAAACGTTTGCTCGAGCTTTCTCCGCTAGGGGAGGTCGGTTGTTTCGTCGAGCCGTGTGGCTATCTCCTCCAGCAGGTCCCCTGCAATAGTGTTGATTACTCCAGCTAGGTTCTGAACCCCCTGCTCCGGAGTACGATCACGAGGACCTCGAGGTCGGTCGTGCGAACTGGCCGTCCGATCTCGCTTGAACCCTCCTGGCTTCTGGTCCGTTCGCCGTCACGGACGAACTGTCCGAGATGACCTCTTCGTATCAGTTTTTCGATCTCCTTCTTAAGGTGTCGACAGTCCTCAGTATCGTGCCCGACATCCCTGTGGTAAGCACAATACAAACCCTGATCTCGCTGGGTTTTGTCGCCCCCCAGCGGCCGAGGAGGACGAGAGATCCCTTGATGTTCCATCACGGCCAGAACCCGAGCCCTGGGCGCGGTGAGCGAAGTCCAGGTCTTTTCCTTCTCCCAAGGTCGGCTCCGAGGTAAGCGCTCGGATACGCTCTTTCGGTCCTGACCTGGCCGTGACTCCCCCAGGTTGGCACCCTTCCTTCGCTTGTCATCCCGCAACCTTTCCTGGGCGCCCTTCAGACGGTTGGCCTCCTCGGCATTCGCCTTCTCGTGGGCTCGATCTAGCATCTCCCGGACGGACTTGGGAGGTCTTTCTACGAACTCCGTATACAACTTCTGCTTGCGCAACCCGTTGACGAAGGCAGCCATCACCACCTTGTCATCTCGGTCCCGCACCTGAAGGGATTCGTTGTTAAACCGTACCATATACTCACGCAATGACTCCTCGGGCCCCTGATGGACAGTCATCAGATGAGCCGTGGTTTTGGAATAAGCGCGGGAGGAAACGAACTGGGCCGCGAACAGCCGCGCGAGCTGGCTGAACGACCGAACTGACCTGGGAGGCAAACCCTGAAACCATTGTCGGGCCTTTCCTTCCAAGAACATCGGAAAGGTCTTGCACCTGACCGCATCAGCAGCTGTCTGAAGGCGCATCTGAGTCAGGAATGCAAACAAGTGATCCTCCGGATCTGTGGTCGCGTCGTAGGACTTCATGGATGGTATTTTGAACTTGGCAGGCAGAGGGTAATCTTCGATATCCGGTATGAAGGGAGATGCAGTGTACCTATCCGCCTCTGGATCCAGCAGGAGATCCAGTTCATCCTGGACCTGATAATCCTCCTTCCTGTGAGGGATCTCCATCCGAGAAAGCCTCAGAACGGGCTCCGGATGGCTAGTTCGGGAATTCCTATGAGAGGGCTCTGGCACCTGGACCTGCTCGCGTGTAATCTCCCTTCGCGCCCTCTTCGACCTGGGGCTTCCAGATCGAGATTCCGAACTCCCTGTTCTGCCCGTTTTTCGCACCCGACGCTCCGGACTGGGAGGGACTCCAGATTGTCCCTTCACCGCACCAGATTGTCCAGATTGTCCCTTCAGGTACGTCACAATAGCCTCAAAGGTAGGCAAGTTCGCGGCAACCGACTGCACCAGTTGTTCCGGCGAGATCTGCGAGAGCTCGACCCTTACCTCCCCTGTGTCGGCTTCCTGGTGAACTGGTTGGGGGCCGCCCTGAGCGCCCCCTCAGTACCATCCACATTCCTCTGAGACCTAGTTTCGGCATGTTGTTCGCGAAAAAAAAGAGAAGAAAACGTTTCCCACAGACGGCGCCAATTGATGCGACTGCCGAAGTGATGATCCGAACTGAGTTAGGTTCGGAGGAACGAGCTGGTTGAACGTCCGACCTGCACGTGAGCGAGCTGCGGGGCTAGGTCCCCTGAAGCAACTCCGACGATCAAGTCAGAACTGGCTCGTAAATAAAAGAGTAGAGATTGTACTATCAGTAGCGTACCTTGTGTTCTTCCTTCGGGTGGCATTTATAGAGTCTCCAGTGTTTGTTTTCTGGTAGGACTAGGAGTCCTTATTGGGGAGGAAACGGTTCCTAGGGCTCCGCGAGGCGACTTGGGGGTGCGGACCTCGCAGCCCATCAGGCCCATCGGCCTGAGAGGCGGCGCTCACATGGACCCGTGGGCTGACCTGGTGCCCCAGTCCGCTTCCTCCTGTCCGAGCTCGTGTGCCGGACTGATGTGTTCGTGGACCGGGCCGATGTGTGCCTGGGGCCTACTACATAAAGCTTTTTTCTTAGGATGCAATTAGTATCTGAGATCAAAAAGGAGAATGTATCGTTGCCCAACAGAATCCAAACATTTTCAATTATCTTGCCCGATATCCTATACAGTGAAATTGATGATTTCAAACAGGAGAGCAGAGGATCCAATTCGAAGACACTGGATTTGCTTATCCATCTGAATTACACTCTGATATCTACGTTTCCAGTAAACAAGTAAGGTTCGATACCAATTCTTCCAAAATTTATATACATGCCAATCAGGCAGCGGCAATACACATAGTTCGGCCGCATGCACTAAAAGGAGATGAGGCGCCAATCCAGTTGATTTCACCTGTTGAGATACAGCATGGAAACACCACTCCACCTGCTTGTAATCACTATCATGACGCCCCGGCCATGTTTTCTCCTCTGGTGGATTCGTCGGGAACATATTCCATGAATTCAACGATGTCCTTGTTCCTCTGTTCATTACGGGCAGGCACTTTCGATCCCACGTAATATTTATGGTTACCGATTTCCAGCATTGGTTTTTCAACAAATACAAGAAAATATTCTCCCAGTTGCCCAGTTACGAAGCTATAAATGCAGCTGAAACTGCAAATGGGACCGTTCATTGCTTTCCAGGAGCAGTGATAGGCTGCTGAAGTATCATGACAATTTGTATTTGAACAGGAGTGACGTTCCGGGGGTTATTCCATGTTTGAATTCAGGGATTTCCTCGTAAAATCATTTGACTTCAACATAAAGAATGTCTCCCGGCTGATTGAGGAGGAAAAGCCAAAATTGCTGCTTCTGTCGCGTGCAAAAACAAGAAAAATCCTGAATCAGGTTGAGGTGGTAAAGCTTATGGAGCAGTTGGGCTTCCGAGTTGTTCCTGCTACGCTGTGATATGATGATGAATTTTGAGGAATTTGCTCATGTTGTGAACAATTGCAGCGTTATTGTTGGAGTTCATGGTGCCGGGCTAACAAATGAACTGTTCTTGCCTAATGGAGCTGTGGTAATTCAGGTGGTTCCTCTGGGTCTTGATTGGCCTGGAAATGCCTGCTTTGGCGGGCCAGCGGTTGACATGGGTTTGCAATACCTGGAATACAAAATTGAACCTCAAGAGAGCTCGCTCTATGATTTGTATGCTCCGAATCATCCTGTGATTGCCGACCCTGAATCCATGAAGGCACAGGGTTATCAGGCTTTCAGGGCTATATATATTGATAAGCAGGATGTCAAAATCAATGTTGAAAGATTCAGGAAGACACTTGTTGAAACAATGAGACTTCTTGGACGCCCCACAAATCCTCTGCCTTGATGGAAAGACTTCAGATTTTGGTGCTCTGTCTTTTTCGTTTTTTGTAGGTTATTTAATGATTCTTTTTGATAGTCATCTTGTAAATGAAGAGGCTTTCTGTAGATTCAATTCAATGCCGTCTGTTTCACTAAAGTACAGTGAGGCATCTAATTTTATAGTCTCAGTATCTTTCTTTCATGATTGTTTGAGTTCTGTTTCTGAAACTATTAATCTAGAGATATTAATCTAGAGAAAGTTCATTTTCCCTTTTTCTCCTAGAAATTAAAATAAGGGGGGAAAAACTAAAAGACATAAATGAAAAAGATTAAAGAATCGATACTGTTTTTCAATTGAAAGAAAAGAATCGAAAAGGGAAAAAAAATTTTTTTTTTTTTTTTTCCTGAGGAAAGCAAGGAATCAATCAATACTTTAGAGCTGGACGTTTTTAAGCAGCAGCAGCAGCAGCAGCAGCAGCAGCTGGTATTCGACCAGTGAGAAAAGGGGGAAAAAAATACCTGGACCATTAGACTCTTCAAATCAATTACTCAATTAGTGGGATTTTTGTAGAAGACAAAGTCGTATGTAATGCTTGATTATGATGTGGAAAGTTACTTGTGCGATGCAGAAACATAGATTAGATACAGCTGGCGCAGGAATGTGTGCATTGATTTCCTTGTGTTACGGCTACAGTATTGAGTGGCGATCATATTTTTAGGTCATAATCTCCCTCCCCTCCTCTCCTCCCCATTTATGGGATATTTATAGAGCCGTCCTGGTCTACATCTTAACTGTATGTATTGTTTTATTTCCTTCAAGAAAAGGAAAAGGAAAAGGAAAAAAAAAAAATTGTATCGTCTTGTCTTCGACAAAGAACGGCCCGAGTTTTATATTTCTCAAAATCAAATCTTTGACGTAAGAGATGCCCTACTGCCTTTCCCTAAATATTATTATTATTTTTTTGATCGATTGACAAAGAAATTGTATGTATGTATGTGTATGTATATATATAGGAAAGTTGAAAGCTACCTTAAGTAAAAGGTCCTGTAATGAAAAGCAAAAATTTGTAGGTCGACGCAAAGGTTAAACCGCGGCTGCTGCCCAAAAAAAAAAAAAATTTGTAGGTCAGTGTTGTTTATATGCATGAACCTTAGTTGAATATCAATCAAGTTGCAAATTCTAGAAGCAAGACAAGGAAGAAGACAGACAGAAAGGTAAAGCAATTACAGGAAGTAGTAATACTAATAAACAAGAAGAGAGGGACGTCTAAACCATGTTTTGTCTTAGAAGAGAAGAAGAGGTTGCTGGATGAGAATTGAGTGCTTCTTACTCATACGTTGAAGTCAAGACAGGGACTTGAATACAACAGCAATTGTAGTCCGGAGTAAAGAGGATCGATGGTGGAGGAATCCAAACGACTGGTTTGCAGCCCAACTTTCTTAATCTCCTTGCTCATCTTTCACGCTTTGGCCTACTCTGCAATATTTTGCCAGATTGATGAATGTAATCTAGCTCTTCTATCCACCATCCGATTGTTTTCTCTTTTTTTTTTGTTGTCTAGGAAAAACATAGATTTTGTTTTCTTACTTAGCCTTTATGTGAAAAAAATTTGGACGGCGATTCCATGCATATTCGTGGATGCTCATCGATCTTTAATACGTTGTAGGGAAGGCAAAGTTCTCAAGTTCAGACAGCAATCTCGACGCGAAGCTCACAAATTCGAATAACCATCTTGGCACAGGCAGAAAAGTCGCCGTCAAAGATGTCGTACCCAAGAAAGACCCGCTCAAGATTATGCTCAGAAGGCTATTAACAGGTTTGTTATGTTCTACTAGCTAGTCTGAGTTTCGATCGATCTTTAGCACTTTCATTAATAAAAAATATATCTCTCTCCCTTTGATTGTAAGATAAGAAAGATGCTTTCCCTTTCCTTTCTTTTTTTTTTTTTTCCTTTTTCTCCCCCCCCTCCCCCTCTACTCATGAATTTGGCTGTGCTACCTAGCTATATATGTTGATGTTGTTAAGAGCGACAGTCAATTGACGAGTTGTGGAGCTTTTTGCCATCCTACAAATTTGTTGTTCTTGAAAGCGGAAAAATTACTCCACAAGATTATGTATGTATATGTAGAGATACCAATATATTTGTTTAACATGCATCTCCGAGAGATCAAATCAAATCAATTTTCGCCAAAAGTCTTTTTGGAGTCAAGAATTTTGATTCTTTGGAGCTAGCAGGAGAACAACGGACTCGATTCGAAGAAACTGGATTTGCTCACCTGTCCGAGTTGAACTCGGACATTTATATTTCTAGCAAAGAAGTGAGGTTCGACACGAATGCTTCCAGGATTTACATATACTCCGATCAGGAATTGCACAAGTACACGGCTCAGCCGTACCCACTTAAAAACGATGAAGTGGCAATGAAAATGGTCAAGCCCGTCGAGATTCTGCACGGTAACGTCCGCCCACCACCTTGTGGTTTCAAACACAAGGTGCCGGCCGTGGTTTTCTCCTCGGGCGGATTTGCTGGGAACATATTCCACGAATTCAACGACATTATCATTCCCGTCTTCATCACGAGCCGGCATTTCAGATCCAAGGTGAAGTTCATGATCACGGATTACCAGCTTTGGGTGCTCAACAAATTCAGGAGGGTTTTAACCAAGCTGTCGCATTTCGAGTTTATAAATGCAGCCGAAACTAGTAAGGGGGCCATTCATTGTTTTCCAGGGGCCATTGTTGGGCTCAAGTATCATGACAACTTGGCAATCAACACCAGCGACACCCCAGGAGCTTATTCCATGGTCGAATTCAGGGATCTGCTTAGAAAATCGTTTAATTTGAAGCCGAGGGATGTGTCCCAGATGCCGGGGACAGAAAAGCCACAATTGCTAATAGTGTCTCGCACGAGAACGAGAACTATAGTGAATCAAGGAGCCGTGGTGAGGATGATGGAGGAGTTGGGTTTTCGCGTGTTCATTCCTACCAATGATCTGATGTCAAATTTGGATGAATTTTCTCGGGTTATCGGTTCCAGCAGCGTTATGGTTGGAGTGCATGGTGCCGGGCTGACAAATGAAATTTTCCTGCCTAACGGGGCAGTCATGATTCAGGTGCTTCCACTCGAACTCGACTGGGTTGGAAATGCATACTACGGCGGACCGGCAACGGGAATGGGGTTGCATTACTTGGAATACAAGATTGAGCCTCAAGAGAGCACACTTTATGATTTGTATGGACCGGATCATCCCGTGCTTAAAGATCCCGAGTCCATCAAAGCACAGGGTTACAGGAAATCGAGGGTTTATTATTTGGACCAGCAGAATGTGACGATCAATTTGGGAAGATTTAGGAATACCCTTCTTGAAGCAATGAGGCTCATCGGACGCTCCACAACAAACCCTCCAAACTGAAGGAGAAGAAAACAGCTAGCTTCTTTTTCGTTTGGTTTAGTTTTGGCTAGACTATTTTTTTGGTTGTTTTATGACGTTACGTAATAGACATCCCTGGAAAGAGAAAACCTTTGCCGCCTTGCTGCGGAGGGAATCAGTCATTAATTGGTTGCAAAATTAAGGCAAACTTTGATATGATAAGAGGGTATGGTCCCTCTAATTGTACAAGTTTTATATATGTGTTAATAATGTTGAGTAGTTCTCTTCTTAATGTTGAAACAAACAATTGTACTTATTGCATTGGGTTTACAAAACATAGGGTGGCTTTCGAAGAGATCTTTTCTCTTTTGCCCCGTAGACTCAGATCGTATACAAAAATGTTTTTTCTTTCCTTCCAACTGGTTGGTAAGTTATGCTTTGATGGAGGACCAAATTATTTTTCCTTATCAATTTGATAATGCGTATATAATCGTTTGCATTTTGTTGAGTGATGGGTCCGGGAGTGGTTGAAAGAATCAGCACAATATAAAGGTGAACTTATCTTTTGTTCCCAATTTTTGTGTTTGATTACGATACCAGTAAACTTTGGCTGCGGGACCAGTTGTTGAACAATCGTCGTATGCATAAAATACAAAAAAGAAAGGCACACACACACACACATATATATATGTATACATAGCTAGTAGAAAAAACTCCAAGCTGCTGAGTCAAAAGTTGCCTGATGGCGATTAGATCTTAATCAATTTTTGGGGTTATCTACCTAATCTTCAAAGAATTGTAAAGTAACAGGAGTAGGAGAAACTGGCTTGCGTTGCCATGCGTTTAAGCATCAGCTCTCGCTCGTAAAATGGTGGCATTATTCAAAACCATCCATCCCTTGATTGCGAACTTCTAACAAGAAGCCCAGGTACAAACTATAAAATTCCGTTGTTGTCTTTTACATTGGAATATTCATTTTGATCACCGATCTCATCATATTCTCATTGATCCTTCATTCAACCTTGGCTGTTGTGACATGAAATTTATTCTCCCAGAATAATAATAATAATAATGGGATTGACAAGTTTTAACCCTTCTGTCGACTCGACTCGACTCGACTGTTAAAAAGAAAAAGAAATCACATATAGGTGGTGGGATTCAAATAATCCACTCATGATAAAAGGGAAAGGGGTAATTGAAAATAAAATTCTGCATCAAAAAGGGAAAGGAAGTGCCCTACTAGCAAGTTGCAATAACTAGAAAAAGGAAAAAGCAGGGTGGTGCTGAATAAAGAGAAGTGGAGAAAGAACATCATGAGAATCTTCTCCACATTATTGTTTAACAAGGTAAGAGGGGCACTTGAATGGTGGAATCAAGTCATGTCTCTCATAGATATCATCATTACTCCTAATCATGGTGGATTCTTACGTGATAATTAACTTCGTAAGAAAATTCTATATCATTTCTGCAAATTCCAACTTAAACATCTCATAACTTGACTCTTCTCGTCAATCATAAATCATCTTTTGCCGTGTGACTTTTGCACATCAGAGATGGACTTTGTTGATAGATACACACTAGTATCGTCAAACCGCTTATATGACGAATTGAATTTGGACAAAATGTAGGCGGAACTTGCACACCCCCCCCCAAAAAAAAGGAAAAAAAATGATAATGATAAATGACTTCCCTTTAATTTGTTTGATTTATGTTTTTTTTTTAGTAACCGAGAGACCAAAAATTCCGGGTATAGCATGTTCT